CGAATCCCTGTGCTTGCGGCCACTGTTACTGGACCAGGACAATGTCCAGGCCCCGGTCCCGCACAAGTGTTGGGAGCTCCTTCGTGGCTATCTCGCTACGTCCCAGATTGAGCTGTCCAACGCTGATATTGTTTTTAGCCGCCATATTGCGTGGTGTTGACCGCTCTCTCCTCAGCGTACACCCTAGCCGGGCACTCCTTCGCCATCGTGGCATGGGTTTTTGCACCCGGCTTGCCAAATCTGCGACAAGTGGCACAGCAGGTTTCAGATGACTTGCAGGCATCTCTGCTGTGACCCTCTTCACCACATCTGCCACATGTCTCCTCCTTCGCCCTACAGTATTTGGCGGGATGCCCGGATTGTTGGCATCGCTGGCAGCAGGTGACGTCTATAAAACCACATGGCTCGACCACGTCCCACCCTATGTACAGCCTATATCTGGCTGTCAGTGCATCCCTTATCGTGGACGTGCATTGTAGCACCACCGTGGTCCTTCTGCTGCCCTTCCACGACTTCTTAAAGGCGACCTTACACTGCTTCTTCAGCTCCTCCAGGGACCACTTCTCGTCTTCGCCAAAGTTTTGATCGTGAAGGGCCGGCAGGATTTCTTCCGGCTTAACATCCTCTTCGAAGCCACACAACGCAACAAGTGGCTGGCGTTGTCGCGGCTCTGCTACCCTTAGTGTCGGTGGAGCAGCAGTGCGCAGCTTTTGTGCCGCCTCCTGGGACGTGGTCTGGACCACTACCCCAGCATTGCCAACCTTTCTCAACTTGGAGACCTGGATGTTGATTTCCGAAGGCCTTACTGCTTTTTTCAATTCGGCCTTGGTGTCTTCTGCCGTCTTGAGATGTTCCTGTTCTCCGGCTGGGTAGAATGCGAGGACCGGACCAGACTTTTCCGGCATTGGCTTTGAAGCCACTCCTTTCGGCATTCTTAGAGCCGCTGCAAACGATTGGCCAGTAGCTGGGGCGTGGTCCCCATCACCTGCAGGTGCACGCGCGGCCTGCTGGTGCACCAGCTTGGCTTCAGCCTGTGATTTATCATGCTCGGCTCTACATAGCGCAAGCTGAGCCTCCATGACATGAACCTCCATTGCTGCGACCATCGCTATCAGATCCTGCTCGGTTGCCGAAACTTTGTTAACTTCGGACTTATTTAATTTGGAGCCCGGGCCAGTCACCATGCCCATGATTGTCCTAATAGCAGCCCGTGTATGCTCGATTATCTCCAAGGGTGTGGCCTTGGAGGCGTCAAAGACCTCTTCAAGAGACTCTAGGTCTTCCTCTAGAATCTGCCTGGTTGGCTCCAAGGTGGAAATCCCAGCAGCTGGGGCCACAGTCGCTCCTTTCTTCTTCTCCTTCTCTAACTTCTGCCGCTGAGTCACGGGCTGCAGCTGGTCCGAAGACGTGAGTGGTCGCTTCTCCGGAGCCGCACTCGAGCCTCCCTTTGGGTTCTGCGAGCTGGGGCCTGCAACAGGCCTCGCCGGAGCACCCTGTGGGGGCGTGCGCGCCAGCGACTTCCGCGGCACAAAAAGGGGGGTTCGTCCCCCATTATGGCAATATAAGTCCCTTATCAGTACAAAGTGCGATACCAATAAAAATAAAATAAAAGTATAAAAAAATAAAAATTTACAGAGGTTGGAAACTTTAAAATTTCAACTGCCGGAGGGGCATACCCAAAGATTTACATATATACGGGAGCGAAAAAAAAAAATTAAAAGTCAATTTTCCAGACGGTCGCTAGATGTCTGGGGTGTAGGAAAATACACCAGCGCCCTCTAGCGGACCACACTCGGACTAAAGAAAATAAAAGTACAAAATTTAAAAATCCTAAACCACTAAAAGTGTCACTGTCACAAGTCAAAAGAATAGATGTTGCTAGCTACTCAGCACCTATTTGGCGCCATCTAGCGGCATCAACCTAAACTAAAATATATAGTCAACTATAATTAAAAATCTTAACTAAAAGTGTCACTGTCACAAAGAGTACGAAATAGTTCACTTACACACAGATGTCGCTGAGGCGCGGAAAGTTTCCAGCGCCACCCAGCGGACAGCAGCCGAAGATCCACCCCGCTGCACCGACGACGCAAGCCGTGCAGGTTGAACGCACGACGCCCACAGGACGTCACAGTGCCGGATGTGCACACTGTCGCCCCCCTGGTGGAGGAAAGCCGCCGAAGCTTCGAGAAGGATCTCGACCGACCTGTCAGATTCAAAACTTGAATCAGACAGCCACGTGCTAGCACTTCCCACAAAGTAAAAATAGTCACAGAAAAACCACAAACAAGTCCGATAAAGCGTTAATTCGCGACAAATTGTACTATAACAACCACCGTATACTAAAACGTAAGTATCTATAACAAAAACCAAAAGAAAAGCAAAAGAAATACAATAAAACGCAATTGGAAAACAAAAACACGCAGCGCGAGTTCGCTACACGTCCGATCGAGGCGACGACCGGAACCGAGTAGATAGGGACATTCCCTCCACCATCCCATGGTCCTACCCGCCTTGCGGCATACGGACCGAATCTCGGGAGACGCACACGGTACTTGCTCTCGGCTCTTTCCCCGCGTGCGCTTGCTTGACTTCCTACAAATTTCTCTGATCCGTCCCTCTTCTCTACATTGCACTTCTCCCCCTTCTGGGGCGTGACTCCACAGCGACGACACTTCGCGTTCAGCAGCTATCTGGTCGTATTATTTAGTCCTCATATTGTTTCCTCTTGTGATGCCATGCATGCGCAAATCTCCTTAATTCCTTGAAGTTAGATTCGCAGCACACTAGGTCCCGGAAATAAACTGGTCCTATTGCTGTTCTTTGTATGCTGTCCAATAATGTGTTCCTTTCTTCGACATACAGATCACAATCCCATAATGCATGGTCACGACTCTCCAGTGCAGAGCCACCGGGGCATAAACCGGAGTTCCTAAGGTTGAATTTCAGGAGACGCTCATTGAAGCAGCCGTGACCAACCAGAATCTGCGATACTGCATAATCGGGTTCGACCCACCTGAAGATTAGGCGCTCTGTGATATCTGGGAAAAACTTGTAAAGGTCCCTGCCATCTTGGCTTGAATCCCATCGGTCCTGCCAAATGGCAACGACAGCCGCCATCATCTCCCGCTTTTTCTTCTTGCGCTCCTTGTCGACCAGACCCGTCCCATCCTCGTCGACTCGTCCCGCGCGAAGAACTTCCAGGTCGGCAGGCAATACGCCCGCCAACACCGGTAACGCTGCGTTGCTAGCCGTCCTGTAAGCCTTCGTGAGAAGAATCAAAGCTGATCTTTGCGTCCTCATCAGTACGCTTCTGAAAACGTAGAGGGACGAGCGTCGGTACCATACGGCAGAAGCATATGTCAACGTTGCCACATATGTCCCTGAATACAGGACCCTAAGGGCGTAAAATCTTATGCCCCAGGTCGATGAAGACAATCGCGACATCTTCCCGAAGCAAGCAGCGGTCTTCTCGCCGATATACAATGCATGCTGCACATAGGACCTAGCCTCGTCCAAAACTATACCAAGGGCTTTTGCCTGTGAAACACTCGTGATCGTAGCACCGTCCCATCTTGATAATTGGTCCACGTTTAAACTTGCCCTTGTAGGTCATCGTTTGTGACTTCCCAGCAGAAAATCCTAGTCTATTACGGACACCCCACTCGGACACGGCAGCGGTCATAGCTGCCGCTTTGCGCTCTATTGCGGAACGAGACGATGCTTCGATCACGATCGTCACATCGTCGGCGTAAGCTACGAAGTGTACTCCTTCGGGTTTTGGTAGCTTCAGGAGGTCATCGAGTAGGAGGTTCCACAGGGTTGGTCCCAGCACCGATCCTTGAGGACAGCCCATCGTGGAGACCTTCCACACTACCCGATTTCCAGCAAACAGTCCCACTCGGCGATTTATGAAGTAACTCGTTAAAATACGGTAAATATTAGGTGGAGCGCCACATTGCTTTGCCTTGAGTAGGACCATTGGCCACCAGGCATTGTCGAAGGCTCCAGATATGTCCAGAAAGATCAATTGCACGTAGTTCTCGGTTGAACCGCCGGCAGTGCGGTTGATGGTGTTAAGCGCGGTCACTGTTGATCGGCCACGTGTAAAGCCATGTTGAGCTTCGGAGATTCCGCGATAGAGACATGGAGCGCAGGAAATAATTACGCGCTCTAAAATTTTCCCCAATACGGGCAACAGGGTTATCGGGCGGTAGGCCTTCGGGTCAGTGAGCGGCCTGTCGCCACCCTTTGGCAGGACAACCAATTTGCCCATCTTCCACAGATTCGGAAAAACGCCCTCGACTATGCACGCCCTGAACATGTGCCAGATCTCATCGCCAGTAACCCGCCATGCCTATCTAACAATCTTAGCCGTGATTCCGTCAATGCCGGGTGCAGTGTTCGGCAGCTCTCGAATGATGAGTCCAACTTGTTCCTTGGTTGGTGGAGCAGCATCAGTTCCAGATGGAGCACATGCAGCAGCGATTCGCACTTGTCGATGGTATTCAGTGTCCCGGGCTAGATTATCGTCTGGGCATAAGGCGTTGACGAGACCAAGCATGGTGTCTCCGGTCATCCTAGTATAGCCGTCAGCTAATTTCATTCCACTAAGCACGTTCAGAGGTGGACGAAATTGTCCACTGGCTGTTTGGTAAGCCAGGCCCCACGGGTCGGTGTTACCTGACTCCGCAACGGAGCGGAAGAAGGCAAGTTCAGCATCCTTCATGGCTAACTTGTAGCGTATTCTAACTGCACGCATTTGATCATGTAGTGCCTTCTCCCTGTCCCCTCCTGCGCGACGTGAAGCCTGCCACTTGCGACGTGTACAGTAGACCTCATTTCGCATACGGTCAAGAGCCGGAGACCACCATTCGTACCCTTCTTTTTCTGTCGTTTCGTCTTATCCATATTGGGTCATATTAACCGACTGCTGTTCCGCATGCAAACGTGCAGGACAGCTGAGAGTGGCAGTGGTATGGGTGTCAGCGTCTTTTCGCTTAAAGCGCTTGCATGTGGCGCAACACTGTGTAGCCGACTGGCACTCTGCGGCACGATGCCCAGTCTCGCCACATTTGCCGCACACCATCGATGCCGCCCTGCAATGCTTCTCCGGATGGCCGTATTGCTGCTTCGTCCCAACCAATAAAGACGCTGCCAAGGCCGAACAATTTATCACGCAACGCAGATGTGCACTCCATAACTACTGTGGTGCGTGGTCCATTTCTGCGGCCCTTCTTGAAGGCAACTCTGCAGGACTCATTGAACTTGTCCTTAGGCCAGTCCGGGTCATCACTCAGATTGATCCTGTACAAGTCTTCTAGGAAGTCAGTGGCTGGTGGGTCCGAGCGCAAATTGCGCGCTGCTACCAGTGGGCGCCTACTTTTCGGGTCGGAAACCTTTAAAGATGGCGGAACCGCTGCCTTCAATTTCTGGGCAGCCTCGACAGTCGCTGTCTGTACCACAATGCCGGAGTTCCCAACTTTCCGTACACTGTGAATTTTTATGCCCTGGGTGCCAGGCTGAACTGCCTTCTGCAACTCGGTTTTGGTCTCATCCGACGACTTTATCGCCTCATTGTTTGGGTAAACAATTACAGCCGGGCCCTTGGACTGGACACAGAGTGGTGGCTTACCCTTAGGCAGCTTCAATCTGGAGGCATAGCTGTCAGCAGAAGAAGTTGAAGAGGCCACACAGGGGATAGGATGGGCAGGTAGGGTCTGGGCTTGAGCAACCGAAAGCTCCAGCTGCGCACACTTAAGCTTTAAGGCCGTTACCTCCTGTTCCTTTTCGCCGTACCTAATCTCTAGCGTTGCCACGTACGCTAGGATGTCTTGGCTGAGGCTGGCAATGCTGGTCTTATCAGCCAAGTTGAGCTTGTTGCTCGCATTGGCGACAGTTGCGATTCCTTTGAGAGCCGCGTGTACCCTCTCCAGAAGCGCAACCTTGTCCAGCACTTAGATGCCACTGGAGCCATCAGGATAGCTGAACCGCGAAGCATTAACTGAAGTCGAGGCGGGGTCTGGAATAGGCTTTGTTAGTATGCCACTAACTGGCGGATGCACCGACTTATTCTCTGCGACGCGGCGCCTGACCGCCTCCTACACGTCCTCAGGTGAGGTTAACACCCTTTTGGCCGTCGGGATAGAAGCTGCAGCAGTAGAGGTGCTTTGTTGGACCGGGGGTGTGCTAAACCCTTGCGAGGGGGTGCGGCGCAGCGAGGTGCGCGGTGTAAAACCAGCCTCTCGCCGCATCTACTCCAGTTCCTCCAGCTGAGCTTTCTTCCTGGCTAGCTCATCCTCGATGAGCTGCAGCTCCGTACCACCCGTGTCATCCTCTTCCATTTATAAATAATATCCAAAAAACAGACAAAATAAAGAGCAAAAGGAAAAAATAATAACAATAATTATAGATTATGTGTATAAGATAAATATACTAAGGGGAATTAAAAACTTATATCTAGCAATACAGTGCCTGAGACAATGACAATGACAGCTGTCAAACGTCAAAGTCAGATGTCAGACGTCAGACGTCAAACGTCAATTGAATCTGACAACCGCAAATGTCAATTGAAACTGACAACTGAAAGCGCGTGCTCACCACGTGCTGACAAATTAACCTCAATTTAAGGTTAGATGAAATAAAATTAAATAAGTAATACTATTATAGAAATATTACTCTAAATGTAAAATAAATTAAAAGAAATACTTAAACTTAGAAATATTTAGCTCAGCACAGGGATAATCCAGATAATATCAATTGCACTGAACGATTATTTCGTAGAAATGTTTAAAATATATACAAGTTAACAATATAAATTCACGAAAAATTATCACAATATGTAACATATGCTACAAACACTAATAGATAGCACTTATGACAAAGGGTTAACTTGGGACACTTTAAATGAATTTAAAATGCGGAGATTGTACTGACACGTCCGTACGCTAAAGCGGTCGAACGCGAAGTAGATAGGGACAACCCTCCACCTTCCCATGGCCCCACCAACCTCACGGTTATACGGGCCGAATCTCGAGAGATGCACGCGGTACTTGCTCTGGGCTCTTTCCCGCGTGCACTTTCTTGACTCTCTACAAGTTATTTAATCTGTTCCTGTCCCTTGTATTCCACTCTCCCCTTCTGGGCTGGACGAACACACCACGCCTTCGGTTCCGGGCAGAGCACTCCTTTGCCTCTCCATGGCTCTTCTTCTAACATGCCATTCGTGCGCAAACTCCCGCAGCCTGCCAAAACTGTCATTACCGTCCACTAGGTCCGGGTAGTAAACCGGACCTACACTTCTGCGTACCATTCCATCCATCATCTTACATCTCAGGTCGTCATACAACACACATTCCCATAGTACGTGATGCCTATCCTCATAGGCAGTACCGCAATCACACATACCCGATTCAACCAGTTTCATGTCATACAGTCTCTTTCGAAAACAACCATGTCCACTGAGCATCTGCGAGACTTGGTAGTCCGGCACAACCCAACTTGCGTTGAGCCGCGCCCACACGTCCGGGAAGAAACAGAAAAACTCCCTTCCATTCGTCTCATTTTCCCATCTCTCTTGCCATACTTTCATAACATCCGCCCAAATCTCGCGCTTTCGCCTGCTCAACTCCCCATTTTCTGCTTCTGCACGCACAAGATCGATCCTACCAGCACGTGTCACCCCCAGATCAGCCGGAAGGACGCCGGCTAATACCGGAAGTGCCGCAGTGCTGAACGTCCTGTAACCCTTAGTCAACAAAACGAGTGAAGACCTCTGTGATCTGAGCAGTGACGTACGCACCGTATAATTCCTTACCCGATTTACCCAAGCGGCTGCGGCTGCATAAGTTACTATGGGAACATATGTTTCATAGTACTACAGAACACGAAGAGCCGGGTAACGAATGCCCCAGGAGGACGCCGACACCCGCGACATTTTCCCGAAGCATCTCCCGGCCCTATCTCCCATGTCTTTTGCATGCTTAATAAATGACTGACTATTGTCTAGCGTAACGCCCAGTACTTTAGTTGACTTTACGCTTTTTATTGAGTTGCTTCCCATCCTTATTACAGGTGGTCGCAAGAACCTGCCCTTGAGGGACATTGTGCATGACTTTGTGAAGGAAGAGGAGAGACGATTCCTTTCCCCCCATGACTCAACCAGCTCCAGTGCAGACTTAGCCGTTTTCTCTATGTCAGCCCTAGAGTTCGCCTCTATCAAGAGCGTTACATCATCTGCATACGCTATCATCTTCGCATTGGTAGGGAACGGCAGCCTCAACAGATCGTCCAGCAGTAAATTCCATAGGGTCGGTCCTAGGACCGATCCTTGCGGACAGCCCATGGTCGAGCGTTTCCATTCAACACATTCGCCGACAAAGATACCCACCCGTCTGTTGGTGAAATAATCTACCAAAATCTGATAGATGTTGGGTGAGATCCCTCCCTGTTTGGCCTTCAAAAGTATCATCGGCCACCATGCATTGTCAAAAGCCCCGTATATATCTAAAAAGACGGCCTGTACATACTTGCGCTGCGACTCGCTCGCAGTGCGAAGCACGTCTTGCAGCGCAGTAACAGTAGACCGACCTGGCGAAAACCCATGCTGGTAGTCGGATATACCCCTGATTAAACTTGGGGCGCACCTAAGCAGAATTCGCTCCAATATTTTTCCAAAAATAGGAAGGAGCGTAATCGGACGATACGCCTTGGGGTCCGTCAATGACCTGCCATTACCTTTCGGAATTACTACCAACCGTCCATTCTTCCATACGTCCGGGAAAACTCCCTCTTCCACACATTTGCTATACACCCAGTGAACTTCCCTGGGTGCAGCTCTCCATACATTCTTTAGCACTTTTGCACTAATCCCGTCCAGTCCCGGAGCAGTGTTGGGCAACGCCCTGACTATACCCCCCAAACACTCAATGGTTGGGGGAACGGCAGCTGATCCGGATGGAGTGAAGGCGGCCATAAGTCGAACACGCCCATGGTACTCCGTGTCCTTGGACGCATAGTCGTCCGGGCACAGAGCCCCCAGCAGGCCCGCACGGCCTCCCTCGCCCCTCCAGAGTGTCGCTCCACGTACTTTATTCCGTTAATTACATTACTGGGAGGCCGAAGCCTCCCACTAGATACTTGATATGCACGTCCCCAAGGGTCAGTGTTACCGGCCTCTGCCAATTTCCTAAAATGATCAAGCTCCCTATACCCCATCAACTGTCTGTATCGCGCTCTCACACTATGGAAACGTTCCATAGCTATTTCCTTTGACCTGCCACCATTTTTCCTAGTCTTCTGCCATGTCCTTCTCGCACTACATACTTTCTTTCTCATTCCGTCAAGTTCAGGCGTCCACCACTCATAGCCGACTTCTCGTCTAGGGCGCGCATTGCCCAGGACATCCTCTGCAGATCGAGCCACAATATCCGTTAACTGCGCACAAAGACGATCAGCTGGCTGTCTAACTTTCAGTGCACCCATTCGTACAAGAATAGTTCCACGAAAGAGTCCCCAGTTCACCCCCCAGTCCCGGAAACGGGCAGGCACCTCCACCGGCCCGCAAGGGGTACTCCTCCAACCTTGTAGGTGATCAGCCGATGGTCACTTGAGCTGACACAATCCAGGACTCGCCACTCTGTTATCAGAACCCCTCTGGATGATAGAGTGAGATCTATATTCGATTCACCCATTGCTCCCGAAAATGTACACGGTTGACCTTCAACGTTATTTACCACTAGCCCTCGTGACATAATGAAGTCCTCCATCATTTTACGACGGTAATCTGCTGCATGGCCCCTACCTCCCACTCGCTCTACGTTACTGAACCAGAGTGGCGAGTGCGCGTTGCAATCCACTCCAATTACAACGTTTGCCTTTTAACTGGTCAAGTACGGTCTCAAGATGTTGCAGATGGTGGTCTATGTTGTCGCTATATTTAAAATATGCGGAGACGACGTAGAGACCGTACTTCTCCACATGGCAGACCACGCAATAGGGGTTACTAATTTGTGGCAATCCGGCAACACCCATGTCCAGGTTGCAGACCATGACACCGGCCTGCGGTCCTTCGCCAAACTGGACGACTCCCGGTGCTTGCGGCCACTGTTCCTGGACCAGGACAATGTCCAAGCCCTGGTCCCGCACAAGTGTTGGGAGCTCCTTAGTGGCTACTTCGCTACGTCCCAAATTGAGCTGTCCAATGCTGATATTTTTAACCGCCATATTGCGTGGTGTTGACCGCCCTCTCCTCTGCGTACACCCTAGCCGGGCACTCCTTCGCCATCGTGGCATGGGTTTTTGCGCCCGGGTTGCCAAACTTTTTGCAAGTGGCACAGCAAACCTCAACTGAGGTACAGTCCTCCCTGGCATGGCCTTCCTCACCACATTTGCCACACGTCACCTCCTTGGCCCGGCAGTACTTTGCCGGATGGTCATACTGCTGGCATCTCTGGCAGCAGGTGACGTTTACGAAGTCACATGGCTCAACCACGTCCCAACCAACGTAAAGCCTTCTTCGGGCCGTCAGCGCGTCCCTTAGTCCAGGGGAACTCTGCAGCACCACTGTGGTCCTGCAACTGCCTCTCCACGACTTTTTAAACGCCACCTTATAATAATAATAATAATCCTAATAGTAATCCTAAGTCCCTAATCTCTTTAACTCATTCCAAAGGAGCGTCAGTCAACCTATAATTAACAATAATGGGCTGTGATTTTCGCGTGAAAGTTATTATTTTATATTTGAGATTATTAAACGGAAGGTGGTTTTCTTGACTCCATATAGACACAGCATCAATATCTCTCTGTAATGTCACGGCATCAGCCTCAGTTTCAATACCCAGAGTTAGTTTCAGGTCATCCGCAAATAAGA